AGACAACTAGTGGGTGTGTGGGATAGACGACGAATCAATGATGCCATGGTGTCAAATGGGATACGATGGAGTTTCAACCCCCAGCAAGCGAGCCATCGAGGTGGAATACAGGAAAGGATGGTACGTACGCAGGTTATTGATGGTTATATCCAAAGAGCATACTCTGCATGACGATACCTTAGCCACCTACTTCATGGAGGTAGAAAGAATTTTGAACAATCGTCCTACTGACCCCATGACGACCGACCCAGAAGACGAGTTAGCTCTCACCCCCGATAGCTTACTTTTATTGAGAGATAGTGGAGGCTATTTTTGCCCATATGCACCTGTAAATCAAGGAATAAAATGTTATTATTATTAATACAAGTACTTGAGACGTTGGAAACAAGCTAATCACTTAGATGATGTATTTTGGCGCCGATGGATGGAAGAGTATCTGCCATGCTTGAAAAGAAATCTCAAGGAAGTAGATGTGGTGATTGTCGCCTCTGAAAAAACACCACGTGGTTTTGGACCCTTGGGAGTGGTCGAAACATGCGAGAAGGGCGGAGATGGTCTAGTGAGAACAACGATGGTGTACCTGAGGGAGGGTAGCGTGAGAAGAGACATACGAAAGCTTTGTCTTCCTAAGGCAGTGTAAGAAGGGTAGAGTATAGAGGCAGCTATGTAGGAAGAGCAACGGCTGAATACATTGAGAGGTGTTTTGCGTGTCAGCAGAGACCTTGGCGGCGGGCGTAGTGGAAAAATGATATGAAAATCCCTCATGATTACACCATTTGATGGTACTGACATTTATACGAATATTTTTGCCCTCATTATGGACGGTGCACCTTTGACCCTAGCCGGTGTAATGTTATTTGCTTGTTTGACTGCCTTCTTTGTCTTCGCACTCGGCATTTGCCTTTGTATGTTTGAGACTTATTATGAATGTTTCACTTCCCTATTATGTGACGCTGGACTGTTGACAAGGTGATGTTGTTTCACTGCGCCCGACATTTCGTTTCGGTTCAACTCACGGTTGTGCAGTGATTTGACTGTTTGTCTTTTGACTGTCTGCTGGGAACGTTTATTCGTTGATTTGATTCTGGTGGACAGAGTTTTGGTCCCCTTTGTTGGGAATATTCTTATTGACTGTCAGGTACTTAACAGTTGTATGTGTTTAGCCAGTTTTTACCGTGTAGTACGTATCTGTGCCCGAGAACGTTTGGACTGTATAGCCACCCAGCGGCACTGTTGAGGTATCTTTGTAAGTTTGATATAACTTGTTGTTGCTTTGATAGTACCACAGACTTTGTAACGAATCTACCACTGATTTACTACATACTGTGTTTTGATATTTTGATCCAACCTTTGACTGCGTCACTCGCGGAAGTTCTAAAGCTATACAGTAGAGCGCAGGAACTAGTCAGATTCACGTTAGTTGGCACCGCCTAGTTATTTCCCGCATTCAGGCCAAGATTACTGGATTTTGCTGTTACACCTGATGCGTTCAAACAAATCAATTACGCTTCGATGTTGAATTATAAAAATGCGGATAGTTGGCTCGCAGTCGTAAGTGTTTATTGGTATGAGAATATATGAAATATGCAGTTAAATAACTAATAAACTAAAATAAGTAACAAGCAACATGCACACATTTATTCATGAAATTTTTGTCGCTGTTCTTAAGCAAAATAGATGGAGTGTATCAACGGAATTATTAGCTTCCGGCTTCATTTTTATGCACCCAGGATACGTAATCTCTCAGCACAAACCCTAGTCGTTTGTCATCGCCAAGACACTACCCTCACTTGTCTGTGATGTGAACTTGCGCACGCTTATTTCGCTGCCAGACTTCATCTTAGTGACAGGCGCCCCATATCTTATGGTGACTTAATCGGTAGGGATCGACGCCACCTGCCCTGAAGAGACATGCAATCTACGTAGAAGTTTATACAAACCCGTGTAAATAGTGCGGACCTGCATAGCACTGTTACCATCATTATTGATAAATGAAAACCATTTAGGATTTCAGCCGGCATTGATTCTCTGAAGATTAACGTTTCGAACTGCTTTCCCTTCTTCTTTTTCATGGTACTTTAATGCTTTCATTAAATACGATTTTCACGTACATTTATGCCTGAAAACTTAATACCTACGAGTGAAAACAAAATTTCAGCATACAAATTAAGGTGCATTATTTGTTTCAGCTTGGGAATTTCCACTACCTAAGTTGAAGAAGAGGCGGAAAACAAAAAGCGTCTGCGCACCTGTAAAATCAAGACCAGATAGCATTATTGTTAGGTCCCATCTCATCCAAGTCCTGTGATACCAACTGCGTGGGCTGTCGTATCAACCAGACAGGAAACGGGTGACCATAAAATGTGTAATATAGCATCTCATGTGACACAAAAGACCTAGACTTAACCACAGAAAGTTTTCGACTTAAAACTAGTACCACATAAACGGTCATGGCACTCTAATCCAGGCTTGATGGGAGTCCCAAATTGGTGACTGATACCAGGCTGCCACGGGATTTATTAGCTCTGTAGCATGTGTCCAACAAACCACCACGTTTATTGAGTCCACCTCACGGAAGTGTAAGTGGTAACTTTAAACCGCTTCAAAATGACACTAAGAACCCTTCCGAACATGGAAGAAGCATGTACACCGCGCCACTTACTAACAGTGATGCCCTCAAAGTTTGGTATGCTAAGCTAGAACCAACTAGTAACATGACTATCAACAAGATCCAAAATAACGAGACACTAGAGTTAACCAACGGAAAACCCTACTACCAAACCACCTCTAGCACAAAAATACCAGAGGGCGGTGCCAGAAAAACTTCTGCGGGCGTATTATTTGTTAGTAAATCTCACACAACTCAGCACCGTTTACGGTGGATGAAACGTGCAACGGGATCCAGTTACTGGCATGATGATTTTTAATCCTCTATTGGCTGTAGAGCCGACCGAGCGGCTGAATGGGGTATAGAAACTGTGAGGTCCGGACCTTTAATTTTGTCCTTTTTGCGGCAACGGTAGGGATACAGTCAACCGTACGAACAACCTACAAACGCCGACAACTTAGGTAGCATCCAAGACTATGAACAGTCAACGGGTTCAGTAAAACCCTCCTATGGTAACAACAGTCTACATACACTTCAGTTACAAATGCTAAGTAATCCTTGTGAAACAAATCTTGACACCAAACACTTTGCTTGGATTTAGCAAAGCTACTTTCATACCTACTAAACGCCCTCCATCTTTACGATAAAAAATTATATGCGGAGGCTTTGATTCACACGAAATTAGCCGGAATTCCCTTAGTGGCCTGGCTGGATGTAAGCTCTGACCAGTCCCAGAAAGGTAACGTGAACTGGTCGGTTTTTTGTCCCATGTAGTGGGACAATCATTCCAAGCGGCCATCAAGTCTGTGGCACACAAGATGGGACAACAAGCAACCAGTCCGCGTTATCTTTCTGGAATTGGCAAAAGCTTTCGGTAGCGTCCCACACTACACCATACTTTCTGAGCTCAAAAAAGTGGGTATCAAAGAACCACTCTTAGCACGGTTTACTGCCTGTCCAGGAGACAGAGAATTTTGTACCAAAGTTAGCAAAGTCCAATCGGCCTGGAGGAGTGAAGGAGCCTGACTTTCTCAAGAAGCCATCCTTCAACCACTCTTATTTTTATTGTTCATCAATGACCTTCCAACTAAAATTTCCTCGTCTGTCCACCTATTTGCCGACGGCACCGAAATGTGGAGGAGGATCCTAGGATATTCTATGGTGGCCTGCTGCAGCTGGAATCCCGGTTAGCTGCCAGTGATTTGGGCTTTATCATGGAGGAATACGAGGTGATTTATCCCTTCACACCAGAAGCGATGGAAACTTGCTACCTACTTCAACAGCTGCAAAATCATCAAGGTATCCACAGCGAAGGACCGAATTTTTCCAGCACGCTAAGTACCAGTGCCAACCATAAGGTAATGGGAATATAGGCTAGCCTCATCATGCATTTTGTAGGAAAGCAGCTAGGACGGCTAGCCCCATAGTTGTTCCTCATGGTTTCTAAAACTTATTTTAGGTAACACCTTGAGGTATTCAACGCTGCAGCCCTCCCCACTACTAAAAAGAGAAGCCAGCACGCTTGAGAAGGTATCGACAAAGTCGGTTAACACACCAACAGGCAAAACATATGCACAGCGCCCCAGACAACTCAGCTAATTCACATGAAGTTATCGAAGGAAAACAGGCAACCCGGCAGTCTACATGAACATTCTCCGAGTGAATCACTCAAATAGGTCAAAATTATCGACCCAAAACTGATTCTAGCACACCCCACCATAGGGTAAAGATGAAAGTGAGATCAAACTTGTCACACAGAGTATGTGCCTTATGGAGTACTGTGTCGGGGGAAGTAGCCACAGACTTATCGGCTGACCCCGTCAAACGACTACTGGATAAGTAAGCGAGCACAAACGGCTTACCACGAACATTTGTCGACAGCAACCGAAGATATGCTCACCCCCTTGTGTTCCTCAACTCTAGTATCTGCAACAAGGCAAATCCCTTCTTCTTATCATTACCGGTGACAGATTTTTCCCCACAAGTGCTTTTCGTTCCACTTTTTCTTATTCCCCACTCAATCTATTTCTAGCACTTTGTAAGCAGAGCTCACTACTTATTCGCAGGTGCCTAATAAAACAAGAATCGCAAAAAGATAATTGGTTTTATCGGCTGCTCTGTTACCCCTCAAACAAATCAAGCTAAAATTTGCAAGAAAAATACCTCCACATAGACAGTCACTACCTCCAAAGCTATAAGCACGAAAAAGGTACTGACTTCTATGACCACCGACGAAGTTCAACCAAGAGAATCAAGTTTGTAGACTTAGAAGCGCCATTGTTGTTGGATGTCGAACTTGTTTTAATAGGCCATAACATTTTCTTGACTAGTCAGAGCAATTGATTTTCTGGGTCACGCACGCTTTTGATTCTTGTTTCGTGTTCTCTTTAACATGCCAATATATGACTATGAAGGATACCTAGATAACGATGAAGTTGAGTCTAATGTGGATAATGCCATTGATGCAGCATGGGAACTCCAACAAAAAAAGGTACAGCAACGTTGTAACTGTATAGGATACTTTCGTTTAGACTTTTACTGCATGGTGCAATGCTCACCTACGAAATGTTAATGAATCGATAGCTGTTATTGAAAATGATTTTCGAGATGGATTGAAGCTTATGAAACTGCTTGAAGTGATTTCAGGCGAACAACTCCCAAAACCTGATAGGGGGAAAATGAGGTTCCACAAGATTGCAAACGTTAACAAAGCTCTTGAGTTTATTAAGAGCAAAGGTGTTAAATTGGTATCCATCGGCGCAGAAGGTACTTTTTAATTGTCTAATTCGCCTTAGAAATTGTCGACGGCAATACAAAAATGACTTTGGGGATGATATGGACGATTATTCTTCGCTTTGCAATCCAGGATATTCAAATTGAAGGTACTGTAGTTTCCTTGATTGCGCAATTTCGGTTAAGATTCGTCTGCAAAGGAGGGTTTACTCCTTTGGTGTAAAAGGCAAACTACGCCGTATAAAAATGTTCGCGTTGAAAACTTCCATACAAGGTTCGCTTATCCTAATTTCTTCAAGCTTCATCTAGTTTTAAGGACGGACTGGCGTTCTGTGCAATCATTCACCGAAATCGTCCAGACCTAATTAATTATGCCCAGCTCAATTCGGTTTGATTAATTTCTCGCTAATACGTTTTCTTAGAGTGACCCAGTCAAGAATTTAAACCTTGCGTTCGATGTTGCTGCTGCACATCTTGATATTCCTAAAATGCTCGATCTTGAAGGTAATAAATGTATAAACAGGTTCGAAGTGCTTTAGATTTGATGAACTGTGAGAAATGGGATGAACGTTCGGTCATGGCATACTTGTCTTCATACTATCACGCGTTCTCAGGTTCCCACAAGGTAATTTTCCCGACTGTATGTACACACTGACCATTTCTATTTGTTATCAGTCAGTGGGTACATGGTGTTGGTCATCCAATTTGGCATGTAGTATAAATCCACAGTTGTTTCCTTGACATTTATCCACTATACTCTTTTGTGTGCACTATTTCATCCACTCATCTCTTTCTCGGTCGTTTATTTCCAGACAAATATTGCAGCTACTCGGATCGCTAATAACCTTCGGATAATTCGCGAAAACCAAAAGCTAAAAGGATCTTATGAAACCATTTCCAGTGATCTCTTAAGTTGGATACAAATGAAGCTCGAAGAATTTGGAGTATGTTAATTTACCTCTTCACCTTTTGAAATAAAGTTTGTAACCTTTAGGTTTTGAATTAAATTCACAGCTTTATTTTAATTTTCCTCAGTACAATCAACGGAGTGCTGAATAAGAGCATTGTTGTTTACTTGTTGAGGTGGTGGGATCCTAAAGTATATCTTAATTTGTCTTAGCATAAGCTGAAGGTTCCTAACATTTCGTTTTCCATTCACCAAGGGCTCTGGCTTATGACTAGTCCTCAGAATGACCTTGGTAAATAAGAAAGTGTGGATTTTACCCTTTGTAGTTTTGTCGATCGGCTTTCTAGCTTCCATGCTACAATTTTAGTGCGTGGGAATTTCATTACATGATTGCTGATTCATAGTATTATAGCTTTATTTTTTCAGTTTATTGTTCATAACAAGTTAATTTTTCTATCAGTGGTACAAATTCATGTAAAGCCTAGCATCCTCCTATCCACTTATAGTCTGTGACTTTTGATTGTGTGGATGTGACATGGCTCAGAATCCATGTCAGTGGCACAGATGTATCCACACATTATCTTCATCTTAAGCCGATATACTGAACTGAGCATTTTCTCAATTCTCCTTCCTATCTTCTACTACCGTTCACTGCTTTCAACTGATTTTCATTTCTTCATCTCATTTTACCACTTTGTTATATGATCTGCTGATGAGGCCTGGCCGTTACGCAGTTATGCCTGGTCCTGTGTTGATGTTCATGGTGGCCATGATGTGTCAATCCATGTTGCATAGGTTATTCTTGTTGATCACAAATGTTACTTATTCGTAGTCAGTCACCTAAAATTATACAAATGTGAGGCATAACAGTGTGATTTATTGGGAGTGGTGAGTGACTGGATTAGTTACTATTTTATGCTTCTTACGTTGTTTGCTTTTAGGTAGCTTGACAATGTAATCGCAGTTTGAGCAATCAAATTTCAAGCTATAGGTTTTTTAATATAGTGTCTGATAAACTTTGAGTGGTTGATTGGTGTCAGCAACTGTAAGGCAGTCTGGTGACCTGCTTCCAATCCATTTGTCTCATTGTTACAGTGTATGGTTTTTTTATTTTCAATCAGTTTGATTGTGATCCGTCACACTTGTAAAATGTTTGGTTTCAAGCGCATAGTGCCACCATACCTGCACGTTTTACTTCTGGATTAATTATTTTAGCATCGTGATCCTCAAACATCCGTTTCTGCCGTCGAGAGACTACAGCATAAATTTCGTCTCTACTGCCGTCAAGAAAAACCACTCAAATTGCAAGAGAAAGCTCGCCTAGAGACAACATACAATACACTTCAGACCCGTCTACGCTTGAATAATAAATCGCCTTATGTACCTGCTGCTGGGCGTCTGTTAACAGATGTGACTAAGGACTGGAGTTCTTTAGAACATGCGGACAAAATTTACGAGGTTGGTTTATTGGAATCAATTTTGTTGTGCTTTTTCTTTTGAAAGCTAGATTATCACTAATTAACGATTTTAACATTCGTTCTGCTTGATAGTGTGTGGTTATTAGATTTTAGCAAGGTTTCGAGAGGGTTATTGCAGTTCTGGTGCATGATTTTTCATCGGACTGTAAATGCATAATTAGATCCATTTATCACCCTTCGAGCTTCGTAGATAAATATGTTACACTATCCAAACACTGGTACCTGAAAATCAGGCATGCTTAGTTCCATTCAGGTTTCACTTCCAAGTCTCTAAAACATTCAGTATAGTAACATAGGACATATTTGTTCAGAGATACGTAGTTGTTCTTGTATGTAGATGCGACTACTTAACGAATAGCATTTTTCTCTTTTATTTCATTATCATTTACCTTCATATAAGTGAAAAACTTGGGCACTGTGGTAGAATGTAGTTCCATATTAGATTTGTTTATTTGATATAAAGCGCACAGTGATACAGTATTATTTACTTGATTACGTTTCGAGCATAAATTATTGCTCATAATCATATCATTTACCTTCGTCATAAACCGGATTGATTAGAGATGCAGTATCCATGTATTTAGTCAAGGCTAAATATATACTTATTCTGTTCTTAGGAGTGGTTACTGGAGGAGTTGCAGAGGCTTGAGCGCCTTGAATATTTGGCAAAGAAATTTGAAGTTAAATGCTGTACACATGAGGCGTGGACAGATGGAAAACTGGAAGCACTTGCTTCGAACGATTTTCGCTCAGCTACGCTGGCCGAAATACGAGCATTTCAAAAGAAACACGAAGCTTTTCAATCGGATATGACTGCCCATCATGCCCGCGTTGAGCGTATCCAAGCCCTCTGGGAAGAACTTAAGTAAGTGGAGTTGAGGCATATTCTTCGAACTGACAAAATCATAGTTTTCTTGTTTGAGTGTTACACCAAAAGGTTTGTTCTAATTTTACCACTGGAAAATAAGTTCATCTAGTTTGTTAGTTAGTAACTATCCGATTCGGTGCTCAAAGTAGCTTAATTGTTTTCGGTAGTGTACTCAATGGAAACATCTCGCTTCATAATTTAGTTTCAAACTGGAAAGTGACAGTTTTCGAGTATATTCAACAATGAAAGCTAATATTTTGTACTTGTCTTCATTATCCATGGAGCTGTCATTGGCCTAGGTACTCGACTTCCAACTGGTAGATCGTTGGATTAAACCCCGCTCCACCTATCGAATTTTGGGTAGCCAGGTAGCATCTAACACAATAAGTGTTGCTCTTTGCCTGTTATACGAACGTCCATGTGGCTACTGAGTAGATTTCGATGTCCATTAGCCATGTACTGAAGTAAGTGACATACTGAGATTTTATTTGGATTATTGCAAAATTTGTATTCAACGCTATAATCTCATAATTCTTCTGTGTGCTCACAGATATCGGTGGTGACCATCGACTACTGTGTTGAAGGTAAAAAAGTCGATATCATTGCTGACTCATTGGATTAGTACGTTAACTACTTTACTTTGGAAGACGTTCCAACTGGAATGGGTTCGCTGCTGACGAGATCTCAGTCGGAATACAAAAGCTCGGTTTACCCTTTACCATTTTATACCGTCTCTGACGCTGACGAGATATCCAGCTAACCTACTGAAGGAGTATACTGTAACAGCTCACTCTATTGTACAACTGTGGATCTGTGACCCATTGGTTTAAGGAGGTGACTTTAAACTAGTAGGTCACCTGTTTGAACTGCTCTCCACCTACTGAGGTTTGGGTAGCCAGGTGATATCATTACCCCACGCACAATGGATGTTGCTCATTGCCTACTGTACGAATGCACAGGTTTGCTGAGCGTATTTCGATTGCGATACAAATGTAAGACATGTTCGTTGAAAGATCTAATGAGGTTATGTTTTAACTTCAGGTGTTTTGTTTTAACATTGTTCACGTATGGTCAAACCACTATGTTAGCCATATCGAGGTTAGGGATAGAGAATGAGTTAAGTAAGGTAAATCATTCGTTTAGGTTACTAACCTTTACTGGATGAGCTGAATTGATGTGTATTGCACATGCAGAAACACCATCTACGTCAACGTGTAACGCCAGCTGAATTAGGATCAGTCCATGAAGTTTTTAGCTGTCGATTTGAGCCATATAGGGGGGGGGGGTGTAAGCTGTCTCGGGAAGTTAGAAACCATTGGTGGAGATACTTGTGACATGGATCAAAATCAGTCACACTGGCGCAGATATGTATACTCAGTGTCATCTTCAAAGTCTTGAACGTTTTCATTAACCCTCATCTTCCTATTTCTTTTTCATCCGATACACTTTTGTCCATCACTTCTGTCTACTTGTGTTTTGCAAGCAGTTTTGAGGTGTAGCAACTTCAACGGGTGCTCTTTTTTGCCAGGTTCTACGTTTTCCCATCTTAATGCGTGATCTCAGGTCAAATAGCGGTGCTATAGAGAATGCTTTAAGGCTGTCAGGTCAAAATATGTAAGGAGTCTATGAAATTTAAAACTTGACAGAAGGCTATGTTAGCTTCATGATTGATGTCCATGGTTTGTTCCAAAATTGACTACAATGATGGCCATTGTACCTCCCCATGAATCAAAAACATATCATTTTTTTTCAATTTCCTCTATCGATGAAACTGCCATTAAAGTTGAGGGAAATAAGATCGATCGCCGTTACCTTCGTAGTACCGACCATTTGCTATGGAATCAACACAACCTAAAAGTTAGGCATAAAGTTGCAGCCAAAACAAGTAAGTCAGTTGGTTAGGTTATAAAGCTTCATTGGTTCAGGTAGCTGGAACATGGTTTACGTATCCCAAGCCACCATATACATCAATCCACTGTTAAAGGCGGCCGGACTAAAACGTAATATTAGCTCATGAGGTCTGTGACTGTTGATCTGAGCCATCTGGGTAGATGTAGACATCTAGGTTGACGTCGTGATGACAAGCCAATTTTATGACTTCCGACTGTATGGTTCAGAATCTGCCTCGCTGTCACACGTATTCGCACCTTAATTTAACCGTTAATTTACAGTTTGTCATTTCCTTTAACTCCTTTTGTTTCATGGTTTTCCATGAATTTTACTTCTTCCTCTTTCATTGTTCCATTCTGTCTTAGTTTACTGATGTAAGGTGATGTATGAACCTAGACCGTTACGCTGTAATGCTAGGTAATCTGTTTATATTGACCATTTACCCCTTGTCTTCTCATCCTTACTGGTTCACCATTACTAATTTTATTTCCAGTCCTGTTTCCAGCATGGGGTTGTGGCTCATTGGTTTAGGAAGGGGACTTTCAAACAAGTAGGCTATGGTTTCTAACACTACTTCACATCACCTACCGAGTTTTGGACAACTAGGTAGTAGTTTTATTAGCTCTCACACTGTAGGTGTGACTCATTTTTTATTGCACGATTGTGCACAAGGTTGCTGAGCGCATTTGGATTTGATTCGACTTTGCCCTAAATGTAATTACCTTCCACTGTGCTGGGACAGTCTTTATGTATGCCCAGTTGTTGTTCCAGATCCATTGTTGATGTAAACATTAATTGTTAGTTTACTCTCAACCACACATCTTACATTTTGGTTTCCTACATGTATACTTATTATTCCTTTTCTACTCTTACTCATTTGAAAGGTAAATCTTCCGTTCATGTATGTAAACTAGTACTTTTATTATGTACATACATTATTTCTGTAGTAAACTGAATCATTTCAACATGCAAGCTTTCAGTCAACGCTATAAATCCATTGTGACTACATGGGATGAAATGAAAAGGTTATCTGTTCAACGAGAACGAGAAATATCTGTAAGTTGTCATTCAGTATTCTTTGATTTCAAATATGTTCATCTTGATCATCTACAGACTTTTTGGTCTACCACATAGTTTGTTCCGAGAAACTGTCTAAATATAATGTAGAGAAATGGTGACTCACGTTGGATTTGCGATTGCAACATTCTTTGCAGTATAGAATAATATCTGTTTATAAATCATGATAGAAGTGCCTTCATTGCTCTTCCTCTATTGACTTACGTTCTGCTATGCACAAGTTGGCTAATTTCATAATTAAAATGTTTAATTAGTATTATCATTCCTTAAATAAAAAGCATTAAATTGCAAGAACTAACCGATAAGTTGTTGATGTCACGCTAATCGTTAAACTCTAATTAAAGCGTATCACTTGGTAAATGGGTATGTAGTTGATACCCTCTGATGCATAGGATGCCGAGAGTTTCTTGCTTATGATGAGAAAACTGAAAGTTGTTTCACTTTTGTACAGTCGACATTGACCACTATCATCCGAGTGATAATATGAGGTTGTTATTTTGTGAAAAAAACAATCCAACAAAGTGGTCAGTCTATACAATGTGATATTATTTCATGTGGTGCTGAAAAATCATATCAATTTTCGTGATTACAAAAGTACTTCGGTGATGAACTGCATTAATTACCAGTTGAGCGTTTATCCTTTTCTCAAGATCAATTGAAGGACCATTGAGAACTTGAAAGCACTGGATAGCTATTTCGTCCTAGAATGAGACTTTCATCAGTGCGCGCTCACTACCTCATCAGAGATCGAAATCAGTACCGTCGGGTCCTGTGGTAAGCACCTTACCACTCAGCCGTTGGGTTGGAACCCAATGGTTCAGTGGTGACGTACTCGCCACGAGACCTGCTGGTTTTAGGTTCAAGCTCTGGCAGGATTGCGGGTGCGTGCTGTCGAAGAGTCCTATTCTAGGATGAAACAGCTATGTAGTGCTCCCAGGTTTGCAGTGGTTCGCCAGCTAACTTCATTTCATGATGATTACTACCTTCAAATGAAGGAATTATTTTGAATCCTATAGGTGTCAAGATCTAAGTGATAATCTCGCTCATATATCCATACGCTATCATTATCTTATGCTGCTTTTAAAGTCAAACAACAGAAAAGAAGGTCGACCTACTTAGTACAACTTTAATGTTACCAGTTGCCACTTTCGACAAATTTCAATGTCACTTTAGCTCTAACGAATAGTCCGCTATAGGAGCATAAATTTGTTACGAAAACAATCTGGTACTATTATATGCTTGTACCAATTGATTTCAGATAATGCTAGTCATGACATTTGGTTTTTGTTTTCTCTAAGTACATATCACCAAAATGTTGTTCGGACATATTTTAACTTAATCGGTGTAATATTCGACTTTACAGTCAGGCTGCCCTCTGTTTCACTGTAGATTATTACATGAATGTACTATCTTCCAAGTCAAATTCTATGTTTTCCAGTTATTTTTTTCGATTCATGTTTTAACAACAGAAAGCTTTGACCGTTCTCGAGGAAATAGATCAACTACATTTGGATTTTGCAAAACGAGCAGCAGTAAGTTAAAACCCCTTTTTCTGTTCACGCCATCATTTCAATATTCAAAAATTCGCATACAAATCCTTTTACATGCAGGTTACAGTAGTCTGAATGGTGATAATTATTATTAGAATACAAAAATGGTATAAGAGCGCCGGAAAATGCGCCACGCAAAATAGAATAATAACATTGTAAAGACACAAACGATAAGAAATGGCCAAATCAGAAAGAAAAACAATAAGAATAGCATGATTAGAACGGCAGTCCAATGAAAATCCAAACAAAACATCAATTACTTTTCAGCAGCAGAGGAAAGCTACAGCACGATCGCTACTGCTTTCGATGCTGAGCCGTTTCTGATAACGCCTCAAGCCACTGAGTTGCGTGATCTCTTGGACCCCATCCAGGGAGTCGTGATGCATCAAGAAATGCTAACCCGATACAACTGTTCTTCATCCCACGCCTCCACTTCATACACTGATCACCCCTCCACTTCTACCATCCTGTCCTAGGGCTATCAAACAATGAACGATATGAAAACCGCCAGGATGATATATGTAACACCTTTCCAAGCCACCGAAGCCGGTGTTTGCAGATGACTTCATTTACTGAATGAGAATCTCCATCATGCCCAAACACATGGTGTCGTGCCTTACAATTACTTAAAAGATGTTGCCACGGGAAACAGGGAATCCTACCGAGACAACGATAATCGAACACAGAGTCGTTGCGTATCGTCAGCTCAGATAGTCGAGGTTTTACGGGCGTAGAGCAGAACTGGTTGCACTGAAGTGTTGTGAACCCAACGTTTTACTATCAGACTATCATGGTGACGGCGCCAAAGGTTTACCAGTTTGGCACATGCTTCTCTGGGTTTCAATATGCGGTTAGAAATACGATCACTCATCACTCTGAATAATACATAAGTCACGGTATATGAAAGAAAGCATAAGAAAGACTATTCAGTTAGTGTGATGTGATGAAAAGGCAGTTTGGCAGAAAATAATCTAAATCTTATTAGGTCAGTCGACCAGTAACGATTATTTTACAAATAGTTGATGTATGAATGTATTTACTTCCTGTGAGTTGAATTCCAGTCTAAATGTCATTAATACCGAATCATAAGATTTCTTCATCCATAGAAGCAATGAGTATATCCATGCTTGGTATTTTTGTCGATAGCAGTTCTCAGTCTAACTTATACTGATGAAAGTAAGAAAGAAACAGATCAGCGTAGAGCCTGGCAAAAAGATACATCGGTTCAAGTTGCCATACATCGCAGCAGTACACACAGAAAAGCTGGATAGTGTGTGTGATCCAAAAAATAAAGTAGATGAAGCATTTAATACCTTAAAAGTAATAAGAATTGTATACATCCGCTTCATTGTGACCGATTTGGAGCCGTACTATGAATTGTCTCCACCGTTGGTTCCTAACTTCTGGAGACAGTCTTCACCCTCCTACATGGCTCAGGTCGATAGTCATAGACTAGTGTTACGTCTTGATTTGACAATTCTTAGCCTTCTTCTAACTTCAGGTAGCGTCAAACATCCAGATAGATGGTGTCTTTACATGTGCAACACATACCCATGTCAGCTCAACCTCTTCGACTAACATGGTCGTTCCACCATGCTTCGAAGACACTTATTAGCAAAACCTTGTTATCTCTGCATATCTTTTACTCTCGGTGGAATTTTTTCAGTTTCTTTGCGTAACAGATCTATTTCATATTCAACCTGGGGACCTCTAGGGATTATTATCAACCGCTGAAAAGGCTAACGTGCTTAGAGTTAAATCCATTAGCACGTATATATTAAAGTTGGACAGGAGTGGTGACGGTGAAAATCCCTGTTGTAAACCTAGTTGCTGTTGTTTCAGATGAGAACTCTTCATAAACCTTTTCAGCATGTCTTCATGAGTTCGAGTTGAGAGCCTGAATTAGCATTGCATACTTTCTCGGTACATCTTTCATGGTCAAACACCTCTACGACTTCTTTCGGTCAGTTAACTTGAAGGGCTCTTTCGGGTCAAGGAATATTGCAAGTGTCGGGAAGCGGTAGGTATATTTTTCGGAACCTGTCTCAGAGTGAATATTTGATCGATGTATCTGATATATCTGATACTTGTGTGGTTCTCAAGCTACAGTTAGGCGTCATGTTACTATGGTCCCTTGGATCTTCTACACGATGTTACTCAAACCAGTGTCCCTGTAGTTGTCATCAGAAGGCTTTTCTTCCTTCCAACAGATCGGAATAGGTAATGATCTAGGCCAGTCTGATGGAACTATTTCTCATTCCCATGCATTAGCAAGGGTGTCTGTTACTCAACTCACAGTAATTTTCACCAATATCCTGGTGGCAAACCACCAGGTTCTGCCTTGTGGGACTGCCTTCTCAACTTCGAAGACATTTAGAGGGCCAGTATTCATGTCTCATTCACATTCAGGCTGAATGTTGGACCCATCGTTCTAGTGGTCTGTTGTGAGAGGTTGTCATGGGTCCATCCTTCTTGGCGATGGTCTCATTAACTTTCATCTTAGCATTTTCACTCTTAAGCCTGAATAGTTACCGAGTTTTCAATCACTCATCAACCTGAGACTTGACATTACTGCGTAACAGTCTAAGTTACTCCTTTCAAGTTGCCTTGCATCAGAATATCAAGATAGAAAGTGTCAAGATGTAGGATGTTGAAATAAGGAATAAAGTTGTCAAAAATGATAGAAATACAAAAACGGAAATAGAAAGGATGAAATAACAATGAAATTCAGTGCAAAGATTCCTACAAAGATAACATGTTGATGCATCCACACCATATATCGATTCTAAAGCATATCACCCGAATATTACCTAATACTGATGCCTCCCACATCACTTTCGCTTTCGCCACCTGCCACTACTTACGATCACGTTTGAGGTGTTTCCACTCCTCATCGTGACCAGAGCCACCTAGAATGAGTCTTCTTGTATCAGTCATTTCAAATGAGCTCGTGGAAGGCTATTTACGTTTGCTAACCATGTTATGTAGGCTACCAGCTGTCTTTACCACTACTTCTAAAGGAGACTGAATATTACGCCAAACTTCATCAGGAAGAGAATTGCTGTCATGTTCAAGTAAATCCTCAGTTATATCCTTCCTAAATACACACTTGACATTTTTATATTCTATTCATACAACTAGATGTTTAGCTGTAGTGTTTCCCGCGTCCATTAAAGTACAGACATACGCGTCCTCGTACTAACATGCCACCATAGTCTACATAGATACCTTAAAAGGAGTGGCAGTCCTCCATCAAAAGTTGATAGCTGTGAAATCTATCTGTATCCGTCTTTAGTTTGGTATCAGTGGATGCCAAGTGCGAGACTGTTACTCTTCATATTTGAAATTATTTTTGGTTAAAATCTAGTGACTATCAGAACAAAATTGCAAGAGATGATCACTATTGTCGGTTCGTCGGTGTAGAATACTGTAGATGCTTTTTCAGTGGGTTCAGTTTGCGTGCTTGAGCGTTGAAGTCACCGACTACTATAATCAGATTTGAACACTTTCGTTTATTCATCGAAGACTGACATCAGTTGGAGGAAGGAACAAAGGAAACCTGGGAGCACTGGACAGCTGTTTCGTCCTAGTATGGGACTCCTCACCAGTGCGCACCCACGACCCCACCAGCAGGGATCGAACCCACGACCTTCAGGTTCCGCGACCAGCGCGTTACCATTGAGCCACTGGGTCAGAATCCAATGCTCCATATTTCCAACTTCTGTTAGCTCACGATATAGCGCGAACCGCCACCCAATGTCATCGTTGAGTATCTGTCCTCACGGCCATCAGGCTTTGACTCCACCGGTCACGACTTGTCATTGGAACTTCGGGAATACTTCTCGAAGCTAGTCACCAATGAGCATCAGTTCAATTGTCCAGTGCTCCCAGGTTTCCTTTGTTCCTTCCTCCAACTGATGTCAGTCTTCGATGAATAACAACTTGAAATAATTCCAAATCTCCACAACCCCTCAAAATTTAATTGAACTAGTGCTCGTTGGTGACTAGCTTCGAGAAGTATTCCCGAAGTTCCAATGACAAGTCGTGACCGGTGGAGTCAAAGCCTGATGGCCGTGAGGACAAATACTTTCGTTTATATAGCTAAATTGAAAAAAAATTCTGTGGAATTTATCCTTTGCATCCCATTAACTGCAGCTACTGAGTGCGCACGGTGAAACTACGAATGGGCATCTATGTGTCACAGTTTTTTACAGTTCTGACAAATCCATCCAGTCAGGCAGCACACAGACGAATGTTGACTGGTATACAGTTCAGAAGTGCTCTTATTACTCCCAGACTTATTGAATTGCATACACCAGTGAGTACACGAGAGCTAGACACGGACGTTTTGGGAACTCAAAGGGAATTTTGCAAATTTACAATATAGACTGGGTGAGATCAAGTGAATAATCACATTTGGGTCTTGTATGGATGTCAGGAATACAAAGTGGACCCATGAATCATGACCCCAGAGTTTTGACAAGTGAGACCTATTTTCTGACTTGGCATGAATAAAGTTCAGACGTTGACAGAAGTAGTGTGAAATTGAAAGCGTGATTTTAGGAGACCGGAAATAGTGTTCCACCGGCTTGTGTCGTTGCTAACGGTCGCAGGATGGGGAGTTTGGGAAATTATAAAGAGCTTAATGTTAGTATGAAGAAGTGAAGGCAAGAGGGGAAATACAGGGAAGAAAGGTGAGCTGTGGTTTGTTGGGTTTGGTTTACTTCGAGAAGCCTGCTGGAGGTTGATACTCTCCGGTTGTACACACCGTGAAGATTGTTTCTGTAAGGTGCATGAAATTGAAAAGGGGTTAGTTCCACTCTACCGTGGAGCCCAAGCGACATGCGCTAGGGTCACATGTTACCTCTTTAAGAGTTTTAGATCTAGGCCGAATTACTCTACTGCAGAACAAGAGGAAACCGTCTTACCAACTGTGGATTACTGGGGGACTAGGAGGAGTGTGATATTTTCGGAACCAACCTTTTCTGACTTCTCGTTTTCATAGAGAAGGCAGCATTAGAACTAACTGTTCGTTAACAAATAGCTTCTAACTGAACAGATATTCATTAAATTAATCCTTGTCACCTCAGTAAATTCTTATCGTTACAGAAAGTTTCCACACTTAATGTCTGCCTTATTTCATTTATCCTAGCCTTTCAACAACTGGATGGAGCAAACAGAAGAGGACTTACGGGACACATTTATTGTTCACACGATGCCTGAAGTGGAGGTAAGCTAATTACTTTGATTAACTCTGGACATCAAGGCAGATTTACTCCTGATCACAATCCCTTTTGTGTCTACTCATATTGAAGCATGAATGAGAGGAAGCAATATTTGTATTATTACCTTTCTATTTACTTTTCAGTAATAGACGAAACAAGAAACCAACACCATAACCGCCATTGATTTTATTTAGTTAAGCGCCATGTCTGTTATCGTTCCAAGCCACTGGCTTGGATAATCTCTCAGAACCCATCAAGGGAGTTATGTGGTATCAACAAACGCTGACACAGTACAATTATCCTTCATCTCATCTAGTAATAACACTTCATAAACTGATCACCTCTCCACTTTTTCCAACTAGTCCCGGGGAAAGTGGACGGTGCAGTGTAAAAGTCACTTTGCTGACATTGGAAACATATCTAACTCACTGCAACCGATGCTGCAAAATTGCTATACTCGATGAATAACGACCTCCACCACTCTCAAATATGCGCTGCTCCACCTCGGAATAAATTTCGTAATTTTCTAACTAGCAATCCTACAGAGAAATGGTAATGAAACAAATAGAGTTGTGGAACATTCTCAGCCCGGAGGGGTCGGGTTTGACAGGTATAGAGAACAACTACCTGCAAGGATAGATTGCTTACCCAACTTATTACAGCTAGGGGGACGTCGCAGTGGTATTAAAGGTAACCCAGATTGTCAAATGCTACTCTTGTTTTGGATAAATTAAAACTCGGGAAAAGTTGAAATCCACTCACCACCAACCTTGCATACATTCGTGCACCAGAGAATGAGCCACACCTACTGTATGAGGACTAATGCTACTTCCTGGTTACCCAAAACCTTGGCAGGTGGAGTGGTGTTCAAACCTTTGACCCATTGGTTGGAAAGTCAACTCCCTAAGCCAATGGAAGTCTCATCACTCACTTTTCCAGTAACACTCACAATTACTTGAGTGCATAAAGTTTACCATTACTTACAACTTCATCACTTAGGCTCCTACCAATCGTACACATCCCGCTTGCGCTTACATACTGTCAAGCACATACTATACCAACTGATTAATTGCAATTTCAGCAACATGTGTTACTTCACAGTATGCTTATAGTCGAGAAATTTTGTCAGTTAAAAAGTGAAAATACAATTCAGCGTTAATTTGCAAGTTAATTTATTCGTTATAAAGACCAACAAAGATGTGTTAACATGTACACAGACAGTAATTAGTAGTGGAGCTGCGGCCCCACTTACCGAGGTTCGGGCAACAAGGTAGTATCACTAGCCCTCACACAATAGATGTGGTTCATTGCCTACTGCACAAATGTGAACAAGGTTGTTGAGAATGTTTCGTTCGTTCAGTACTTAGCTACGGTTAGACCTCAGTAGAGATGGCGTAGGATTCGTATCCACAACCTATTGGTTAAAAGTAGTGTTTCCAAGATACAGTCGTTCAGAACTCCTGTATACAGTCAACTGAAAACATTCAAATTTCCATATAATTTCTGCATGTTTTGATATTGTTTATCAGTGATACCATATGTCCGGAGATCCAACACCCCATTCAATCTTTAATTCTGTTATGTCTTATGTCCTAGTGATAACGTAAAAGTTTTTGATCAAAATTTAGTCAGTACTTATGAATTTAGTATTACTGGTTACTATCTAGCGACTTATTTGTACACATAGGAGGGTTAGCTGATAGTGAGTTACATTCGAGAGGATGGCTGCTTTTGAGTGTACATTAGTCTAACCATGTGCGAGTCGGATCCCACCTCTGATATCAAAATCCAACAACCAGCTGTTGGTAGGTTTTCGTTTAACCTATAAGTATGCTATTGTGTAGAAGCGTGTGAGTTTATGGATGACCACAAAAATCTGAAAAAGAAAAAGGAGAACCGACGATTCAACAAGAAAAAAATAATTTACTTACACTTAATGATGAAAGATAATAATAATTATTATTATTAGTCCCTTGGGTTCCTAATGGATAATAGAGCTTCAGTAGCACGTCTCCATTCCACTGTGTTCTCCGAAATCTTTTGAACCTGGCTCCACGATAGCCCAGAAGCTCTCATTTCCTCCTCGCACGATCTCCTCCATATAACCCTCATCTCGGACGTCCAACTCGTCGCTTCCCATGGGGATTCCACTCGTGCGACTGGCCTGATGCGTGATGTCCCTAGTCGGCCTTCTCAGTGTATGCCCAATCCATCTCCACTTCCTTCCAGTGCATATTTGTTGGGTGATAGTTTCTTGGTTGGTTCGTTCCCAGAGCTCCTTGTTGCTTATTCTTATTATTCTGGCTATCTGATCTTCAGTATCGAGCTAGCGTAGGTGGCAGTTGTTGATGAATGTCTGTAGTTTATTGGAAATCCCTTTGAATGATGAAAGATAATTGTTAAACGTTAATAGTAGATCACAGCGGAAAGATGAAGTAATCTGAAAGTTGAAATTGAAAAGTAAATGACTAAGGTTTCAAGTAAGTTACACATATCATCCATTCCTACCAAACACTTTTCAAGACATAAATTGATGATTCATAAAACCTTTGACCTATAGTACTACCAGAAAAGATTTTGAAAGCATGAATTTCTTGATGATTGAAATTTCAGTTTACTAAAGATTGCTAACAAATTCACAATGTTATTCATGATAACTTTCAAATGACTAAAACAATAATGCTGCTATCCTATACTCTTCCATTGGCATTAAAAATCACCTTCCATGATGATTACCTTGAGATAGATATGAATACATTAATAAACGAAGCTTATTTTTCCGTCTATTTTTAAACAGCCTTCATTTGATCAAAGATACCATGAAGATATGAGTTAGTGATTTGATTATTGGATTTTCAGTTGATAAGTCATTAGTGTATATTCTCTCTCTCTCTCTCACACACACACACACACACAGCATTCCAGAAGGATGAATAGTCCATATGTAGTTGACTTAGTACACGAATATTCATTAAAGTTTAATAATACCAAGCAAGTTTTATGAATTAATATGTTGGTTGACTATTGTTTTTTTCTACGTCTAATATACTTGAATTATATCTAAACTTCATTTAAATCTTTTAGCGGTTAATTGCAGCTCATCAAACATTTGAAAATACCTTGGATGAAGCTGAGAATGAAAGTCGTCAACTTCAATTATGTGCACAAAAAGTTGAACAAATCGCTGAAGAATATAAACTAGTGAATGCTAGTCAAAATCCTTACACAAATATTAAGCCTTATGTATGTTTTTTTCGTTTGTTTATGTATTGTTAATATTAGTTTTCCAATTAATTTACATTTCATAGAGTTGAATGAGCTATGCTTTATTGATCTAAGCATTCAATTTTCATCCGGTGCCTCATAGGTTCGAACCTCATCCCATTTAACCAAGATATCGGCGACCTTTACACATAGTTATGGGTGATTGCCTGCCTTACAGAAGTGCATGTGGTTGATGATTGAATTTTGACTTTCTTTTTTATACAATGATAAGTTGAAAAAAATCATTTTTTTTAAAATATCAAGTATTGGTAACACTAGGTATTTCAAGGACTAACATCTTGATTACTACCAGGCGATCTCAATTCCCTCCTCCAGAACAGTCATGATTATTATTGGCTTGAACTGTCATGATCTGTAACATACACCACTCTGGGAATAAAAGAATGTTTAGTTATTGCAACCTGCACTTCAGTGTTATTTAAGGTTATTAGTTAAACTATCTGATATAGCCGTGGTTTAGCATACTTTTCTAGATATTAGGTGGTAATTGAAGGTGAAATGAAAATCTGGGCCGTGGCAGGATTTGAATTCGAAGGTCACTGGTTCAAATCCTATTGTAGTCCAGATTTTTATTGTTATCATCATCCAGTTATTTAGGCTATCCATAAAATTTACAGATCCTTGAAGTATGATGGCCAGATGAGGCCGTTTTATGTAAAACCACTGACTTTACTCTCCCACTTCATTCTGAGAGACAGAGAAGTATTGTCGAATTTTAACTCGTGTATACCTCACAGCTTTTTGTACTGAAAATCCATTCGATTCGTGAGTTTATTATGTTTCTTGTTAGCACTTTCCAGTCAATCGGCCACTTTAACCACAGACCCTATGCAGGAAGTTTGCATTCCCTCACATGTCTCAGGTCAGTAGTCACAGACTTCATGAACTGATTCCATGTTTTAGTCTGACTGCTCCTTACTTTTTTCTAGTCTAGGTCAACTCTGCTCGATTTGCTTTTTTTTTCTGGGTAGCCGGTGACCAAATATTAGTACATTCATTTCCCAGTCACCTGAATGAGTATGGGGGGTTATAACCTCTAGCACTGTTCATGTAGAGTGGTTGTGTACCAAGTTGTTTTGTATGTGAGAGAGTAACTTCAAGGCTTAAAACCATAAGTCTTTTGTTAATGTCATCGTAGATTCTTATTGTCTATCGATGTAATCAGCATACAATATTCTTCTTGCTGCTACTATAGCCATTATCACTTTTAAAAGTAGTTGTTGGGTTGGGATACATATTTTGGATATCTAGTCGATTCTAATTCGTGAAGTCAGAAAGAAAGTTCCCCAGCTAATTTTTGCTATCGTCTCTAAAAGTTACTCATTCATGAATTTTTTCTCGCGTGATCTAATCATCATCAGATACATTCATATTTTTCTTGCTGTTTCCATGATTTCTTCTACTACAAAGATCTAAATTTCACTCCTGTTAGGTGGAACAAATTGTGCACTCTCGCCACTCATTTTTCCCTTGGTAAACATTTACGTGTTGCACTCGTCATCATCAACAGCAATATATAGGGCCAGGCATTACTGCGTAACCGTCCGACTTGCCACACCTCATATCAGTACATCAAGTAAAAAGGTACTGAGGTGCAAGATGAAGATAAGAAAACCCAACCAAAAGAAATATAAAGTACGAAAATAAAGGAAGAAAGAATGACAAAATGGTGAGAATCGGCATAATGTTAAGATGAGGATAATTTGTGTATACATCTGCACCACTGACATCAGTTCTGAGCCATGCCATCACCTAGAGTCTCCAACCAGTGGTTCCTCTTGTCCGCGGACCCCAACTCTACACCTGACTTTTGCATTACTCACGTTGTGACACCACGGAATACATCCTATACTACGAAGGCAATAGTGGTCAAACACCTGAAGCCAGTCTTCTCATGTCTTCCACCTTCACTGGCCATATATTTCAGCCATACAGTAGAACAGAGTGGACTGCTTTGCAGTACACGCGACCCTTAATAGACAAACGGATATGACGGCTGCGCCATAGGTGGCATAAATTGGCAAAAGCCAATCGAGCCTTTTGTATTCGTACAGAGATTTCACCGGCAACTGACCCACCAGTTTCATTCGAGTCACAAGTTATTCACGTTGGTGTATTTCAGATTCACAAAAGATATTGGAGGCAGTTTTATTTTGTATGCGCTAATTTATCTTCTTGTGATAAAAACTATTTTTAAACAACCTGTTTGAAGATTTTTAAGCGATTTCAATGAGCAAAGTTCAAAATTTCAATTACCACGTTACAGCTAACGCGTTTTTCATGACGTATTGTTATATGACTGACTTCAGAGTTAGACTGTCAAACCTAAGATAATGCTCCAGGACTAGTCTAGTGCAAGTACTCCCAGGTTAATAATAGAGAGTGGAGTAATGGAATGTGTCTACCATTTCACTTGCATACGGAGTTTCATCAGCCTGCCGAATAGGCTGGTTATTGGCGAAATCTCACATCACATATAGAAGGCCTGTTTGACATTTTCTAACTCCGCATCATTTGTCGCACCGAGTAACGAGATATCCAATTGTTTATCGAAGGACGAATGTACTAAGCTACAGTCTGTTCTATATTGTTATATGGCTATGAGTCATCGCCGTTAAAAGTAGAAGAGATGAAGCGATTGCAGGGTTTTGATCATAGGTGTATTCGCAGCATTGCTCACGTTTGCTGGAAAGCACATGTGAGCAACGTTGAAGTCAGATGAAGGGTACTAGACAAGAAAGGCAAGTTGATTGATGAGAATGTGAACCTTCTTCATAGACTGAAACGACTAGGACATGTACTGCGCATGCCAAGTCACCACCTACCTCAACGTGCCATGCTAGACTGAGAAAAGTTGGATTAGGTTGAAAGAGGGTTCAAGGTGGCTAGTCAAAGACCTGGCACCACTTGATGAAGTCCCTGATTGTTGGTCTGAGCCGTGTGTAAAGATGTAGACTGTCTATCTCGGGTCACTTCTTGACCTTTTCTAAAGCTTGAATATTTGTTTATCCTTTCCCTCTTTTTCTATTCACCTGTTTTTTGTTTACTACTGTGAAGTGTGAGAAGTTGAACTAATGTACTTGTGTTCAAAGTTCTACATTGATTTTGTCTGTCTGTCAGAGTAAGGCAACTGGAATAGAACTCCTGCAGCAGAGTTAATTTTTTACATTTTTAACACGTGTTATTACTTTATATGTAACTCAGCAACTGTGTTCGGGTTCATATATTAAACAAGGAGGTACACCTATTGTACTTATAATACGATACCTCTTGATTACCCTAATCCTTGGTATATGAAGCGGTCTTTGAACCGCTTAATCTATTGATTGATTTGGAGTACCTAAATCAGTGAGCCATATCATTCTGATAACTATTCATAACCGACAAGTTATAAAACAATGACAATAAAGTTTTCTTGTTAACTGTTTTAACTCATCTGTGTTTGTCTACAGGAACTTCCCCAACGTTGGAATATGATTTGTGAATTAACCCAAAAACGCAGTGCATTACTACATAGTGAACGTGAACGTCAATTGGCGAATGATAAATTACGCCGTGAATTTGCACAAAAAGCTGAAGCATTCAATTCATCAATTGAAATGCATCGAGCTGAAATTGTTAAAGTTGGCATGGATTCACATGGTTCATTAGAAGATCAGCGGGATTATTTACAGAAATTAGAAACTGAATTGAATAAACATCAGAATAAATTGAATGAGTTGGAACATGTTAATCAGGTTCGTATTAAGCTAATTAATTATTTTTGAGATGAATGGGGATTTTCTAACTTAGAAGTAGTATTCATCATAGACTGACATCAGTTGGGGATGGTTAACGCGTTCACCGTGAAACCTAAAGGTCCTGAGTTCGATCCCTAGCCGGGGCGTGGATGCGTACTGTTGAGGAGTCCCATACTAGGACGAAACAGCTGTCCAGTGCTACCAGATTTTCAATGGTTCCCCAACTGATATCAGTCCATGATGAATACTACGTCCTAATTAATTATCTGTTTATATGGATTTGTTAGGAATCAGTTCAAAGCTATAAATAATCTATCTTTCTTTATACAAACTGCTATACAATGAAAATTTTATTGATTCTAACATTACTGACTGCACCATCTATAACCATTAAACTGCCAATTGATTTGTCGATTTGGATACTAATCAAGCATTGTTCCATTTCTCTTTGATTCTTGATATGCTACCATAGATAGATATCTAAGCTTACTAAGGAGATAAGTAAAAAAAGTTGATGGTTAGTGAAAAGATAGTGGAGGAAGATGCCTCTGTAATTCAGTCTTAAAGTAGAAGACTGTAATGACAGGCGGAACAATCTGAGAAACTGTTCAATTGATCTCCAGCTACACTTCACTTATTCACCATCCAGTTGCATCGGGAATTGAGATAAGTCCTTCAACTTTTGCAAGAGTTGAGGAGTCTGTAAATAGCCTCAAACGATGTCAGACAACAGGACCAGGTAAGTTAGCGCCATGGAAAGTTATTTGCTGAAGCTACTGAAGTGTTAGCTAATGCATCGAAATCAGATATGATTCCTTCTGACTGATCTCGATCACTGATTGTTTCAGTCTTCAAGAAAAGAGGGAAATCCTCCTGTGAGAATAAGTTTGACAAACATAACGTCTAAGATTTCGGTTTCTTGAAGCACTCGACGTTTAAGTGAAGCTCAGCAACAGGAAACCGGCGAAAAACTGGTAGTTTTCAGACCTACTGATGGATGTATTGACCAGATATTGACCCTCCACCAGTCTTAGGAACATGGGTGCATCAACGCCTGACAATGACTGTATTCTCGACCTGGAGGTGGTATTTGGCTCTGTCTATCTAGAGGTCTTATCAGGATGTCTCACTGAAAGGAATGCCCGTTAAGACCGTCATTTTGTTGAAGACTCTATTTTCGAACGCCTGTAGGCATTTCAGAGCTTATTACGAGGTGTCAGCTAATCTGTGTACGTTGACTGGTATTCATCTAGGATGTCCACTCTCTTCATTCATATTTAATTTTGTTATGGACTTGCTAATTTATATCCCATCTCGCCGTTTTTGTCCCTAGAAAACTCCTAAGGCAACCTAGACTACTCATGTGACAAGGTCCTGGTCGGTGAAGACGAGGACAAGATGCTAAGTCTTCTGCATACCTGAATTAACTATGTGAGGATGTTTGGGATTGGTTTTGGATGCTTTGGTCACTTTACTTACTTGCATCAGCACAAACGGGATTGTTGTAGACGAAATCTGAGCTTGGATTCAAAAGGCCCGTTTGTCAACTCACGACATCTCCAGCGCCTACTGAAGAAATATCTGACTACTTATCAAATGGCAAGTATAGAGCGCTCCATTCCTTTCTGCCCTACTATATAAGTGTGGGATACGGCTGCTTAAAGCAGAACATATGACCAGAGAGGTCATCGTAGCATTGCTCGCATGTGGTGGAATCACCATGCTATCAATGTCAGGGTTAGGCAAAGGGTACTAATTGAGGAAGATAAGTTAGTCAATGATGTCATGAACTTTCAGCGACTGAGGTGGCTTAGACATGTGTTACGCATGTCAAGTCACAGCCTGTCTTAACATGCAATGCTAAGGGAAGTTAGATTAAATTGGAAGAAGGCTCAGGGTAATCAGATCAGCACGTGGCAGCAGTCAATAAAGTCTCTGAATTTTAGGATGAGGCGTATGGGGAGACATGGGCTCTCTAGCTGAGGTTCCTGAAATGATAAGAACCATGGGTTAGTGACTATTGCTGACATGGCCGAAAATCGTTCACTGGCGCAGATGTATACACTCTTTCACGTCTTCTGAAGCTTGAGTGTTTTCACTAACCTTCATCTTGAAGTTGTTTACCCTCCCATATACCTTTGTCTACTTTGATATCGGTCTTTTTCTACTCACTTGTTCTCCGAATGCTACCGTGAAATGTGGCAACGTGAACGGATATACTTGTGTGCAAGGTTATGCGTTTATTCTGTCTGTATGTCGGAAAACTCGTTTGTGCCGTACTGTCAACAGAGATAGTTGACTTCACAAACATTCCTTTTAATCTATGGAGTAAAATCCTCCTTTTTATTGTCCTATTGTCACTGTCATGTTGTAACTGTAAAATAGATCAATAATTCTTTGGTCTGAGTGACTTTGCTTTGAATATGTGGTTTATGAATCGGTCACCAGTAAGTAACCAATGTAGCTCTCTAGTGCTGCTCAGTGTTCAGCACTAATAATCGAAGTTTATCGACCAAGTTTGTAATATGTTGCCACTAAGGTAAGTGATACGGTAGAGAGCTACTCCGCTTACCTAGTTGTGACCTATTCGTCTACATATTCGAGTTCTAGAAAGTATCAGTCATAGTTTATTATTTATTTATTAGAACAAAAACGTGTTACAACAAGGTTACCAAGAAGTGTGCCACACAAAATAATATAAAAACGTCATAAAGACATAAAGCGAAGGGAAGTGGATGAAAAGAAGAGTGGTAGGAATGTAATGGCTAGAAGGGCAGTCTAGTAAGACACATCCGAACACAAAACATCCATTACTTTTCAAGAGCAGAAGATAGAAGGAAGCTACAACATGACCACCACTGAGTTATGTGATCTCTTGGACCCCATCCAGGGAGTCGTGATGCATCAAGAAATGCTAACCCGATACAACTGTTCTTCATCCCACGCCACCACTTCATACACTGATCACCCCTCCACTTCTACCATCCTGTCCTAGGGCTAGCAAACAATGAACGATATGAAAACCGCCAGGATGATATATGTAACACCTGTCCAAGCCACCGAAGCCGGTGTTTGCAGATGACTTCATTTATTGAATGAGAATCTCCATTATGCCCAAACACATGGTTTCGTGCCTTACAACTACTTAAAAGATGTTGCCACGGGAAACAAGGAATCCTACCGAGACAACGACATTCGAACACATAGTCGTTGCGTATCGTCAGCTCAGATAGTCGAGGTTTTACGGGCGTAGAGCAGAACTGGTTGCACCGAAGTGTTGTGAACCCAACGTTTTACTATCAGACTATCGTCGTGACGGCGCCAAAGGTGGGCCAGATTGATCTATTCCACTCTGGTTTTGGATATGCGGTTGGAGATTTTATCACTCACACCTCCACCAGCACACACAATTACCCAGATACACAGACGTTTCAAGTACTTCCAACGGCTCCACCAAGGGTGAGCACAGGTGCAGGCTCCTGCCAATCTTGCAAGAGTACTTTGTACTTTAGTGATGCAAAGCACATACCATGCTTACGGTCACTAACAGTCATAGTAAAGTTTCTGAATTAAGCAGTAAGTGATGCATACTCAATCCATGAATGAGAACATAACCTCATGGTTGCCGATACATCTTGTTGATGAAAAAAGTATGATCCAACTAAATCCGATTGATGGAATAATTATCTAAGGTTAATAAAGGGTGATTTAATCAAATAAGAGTCAAGAAGGGTTACTAAGGTAGAAAGAGGTTGACTATAGCTGCTTCTTTTTGAACACAGATCAGGTTTGGTGCGTTTAATATCTCTGACTTTGGCTAACTTCGGTAGAATTGAGCTCATTTTTTTGTTTATTATCTTAAAGGAATTGAAGACGTCTGCTTAGTGTCCAGCGTCAATAGGATGCTGCTACTTCCACTCCTTGATGTCTTCTAAAGCTTGGATATTCACAGTAGCCTTTATCTTCAGATTGCGTATTCTCTCACACAACTTTATCCACTTCGATATCACTTTTTCTATCCGTCTGTTCTTCGTGTACAACTGTAAAGTGTTTGCAAATTAAGCCTCTTCACCTGTGTCGCTGGTTTTACGTTGATTTTGTCAGTCAGTCTTCGGAATGTTTTCAGAAAATCTAAGGTACACCCTTCTTTCTGTTCTTCCAATGTATCTGCTTCGCCATCTGGCTACACGTAAATTGATATGCACAGTTGCAGGTAACATAGAAAGGGTACCTGTCAACTTTTGACTTGACTAAAGAGCACATTGTTCAGTATACAGGAATTAACCTGGGTTCAAGGAAAGTTTTATTCAGTGAATGTCTTCACTCCTCTGCTAATAGTTCATCATCATGAAGATCAACATACCACCAGGCATTACTGCATAACGGTTCAAGTCGTCAGCACATCAGTTAACAAGGCAATCAAATGGAAGATGAAGAAAGGTAAAAAAAATCAGTCAAAAGCATTAAAAAGTAGTGAAAGAGAAGAAGGAGGAATGAGAAAATGATGGGATTAAGTATAACGGTTAAAGTGAAGATAATGTGTGTATACATCTGGGCGATTGACATGGATTCTCAGCCATATCACCTGCAGTCTGCAACCACTGGTTTCTGTTGTCACTTGCACCTCAACCTTGCTGATCTGCATCAGTCTACATGGCTCAATCAAACAGTTGAGGAGTTGATGCATTGATGCCATGTTTTATTCTGGCCACTGCAAGTCTTTTTCCAACGTGAACCTACTTCGACGAACATTGTGTGAGGAGGGAGACAGTGGCTAGGTAGGTATACGTGAGACATGTTCCAGCTAGCTGTCTGAGTCGATGAAGGTTCACAACAGCATCAAGTGATTTACCTCTCATGCTTAAAACTCTACACCTGACTTGTGCATTACTCACTTGTTGACAGCATGGAAAACTAGCTATGCTATGAAGGTAACGACGGTCAAGCATCTAAAGCCTTTTCATGTCTTCTATTTTTAATGGTCTTGTTTCACAGCCATAGAGTAGAACATTGCGTGCTGCAGCACACTACACTCAACCTTTAATCGACAACTGGATATTGTGGTGGTGTATGTGTGCAGGTATTTGAGTCGGGCACTGACTGATACACCAGGTCTGATCGGACTTCCCAGGTAGATGAAGTGTTCAACGCGCTCAACCACTTCACTCTGTATTGTTATTCAGGGGTACCGTGGAAGACCAATCCAGGAGCCACGATTTGCATTTGAGTGGCAAGAAACATTTCCGAAACATTGTGAAATTGCCACTCAAGGTATCCAGAAGACTCTGCATCTTGTCAGCGTCTTCACCTGACAGTACTATATCATCGTCGTACTCTAAGTCTTCTGAAAATTCTTCTTAGGTTGGGTTAGATGTCGAAGAGGAGGCCTTTATTAGTACAGTTATGATAAAATGGGACATTCATAGAGAGAGTGAGCATCGTTGACGGACGTCACTCGACGTACACAACTCAATCGGGATATCTCACCATAGACTCTAACACGCCAATAGGTGTTTTCAAGTAAATGGCCTTCAATAAGGTGATGTACACTTACTCGTTATGCCTTTCAGTGATAGAAACTGCCAATAGTTTATGTAATATCATCACTTTTGAAATTGAGGCGAATGAATACGAGGTTTTTTTTTGCTGACTTTCGATTTTTTTTTCGATTTATCTCCTAAGGATGTTTTCAAGCAGCAGCAAATCTTCTTTCACTTTATCACTGGAATGAATCATTTTAACCCTGTGACAATAAAATTAATCCCCATTTATAGTTAATAATTCTGAATGAACTTATTTTGTAGGCCTATCAATATTTCGTTTTGTGTAAGTCAGTGACTCATTACATAATTCAGGAATTCAAGATCATGTAGAGACGATATTTGACAGTAGAAAAAAAAGCGAACAAGAATTCGTAGTCATATGACAGTGTGAAAGTAATATTTTTCAATGCAAAATGAATCAGATGATCTTATTCAAAATACTTGGTTGTTTTCAGTGTTATCAGTTCTTCTCTCTATCTAGGCGTGTATAATGCTGCCTATTATGCGTCAATGGTGATAGGTTTCTATGAATAAGAAATGATATAGTGAATATCTTTGGAATTTCTTTTCTATTGGGTAGTTTTTTTTAAAAAAAAAGAGTTAACTTTCAACCAAGTGGGTCATGGGTTCGAACCCCGTTCCACTTAACATGGTTTAGGCAGCCAAATAGTAAGTATCATTAACCTTCATTATTTTATAATATGATCTCATATTTTTTTAATTATTTATTTATCTGTTTATATGTGTAGGCGTTAGAAGATGCATATGTATTTGAAAATCCGTATACTGTCTATTCAATGCCAACATTACGTGTTGCATGGGAGCAGTTATTTACGTTACTTCATTATTCAGCCAATGAAATAGATAATCAAATATTAACTAGAGATTCAAAAGGATTAACAGCTGAACAAATGAATGATCTACGTACATGTTTCAAACATTTTGATAAAAATAATACAGGTCGTCTAGAACCGAATGAATTTAAAGCTTGTCTTGTTTCGTTGGGTTATAATTTTAGAGATGATATTAAAAATGTGAGTTGAATTTGTTTTGGGTTTTTTGTTATTTAGTGACCGGTTGTCAGTTGTTATACTTCATCCATCGACGTTAGTAATCTCGAGTATCCCAACTTGTGTGAGAAGGTCTAGGTTCATTTAACCCTACTAATAACTATAACCTTAACGTGGTTCCCAGCCTTACATATCATAATAACCTAATTAGTTATGTAAACAAGAACATTTGTTCCTTAACGTTTTGCTATACCAGAAAGGTTTGTTGTGTAGTAGTAATAATACAAAGGCACTCACCCTCATAATGTAAATAGGTGCGTTTTGATAGGGAAAGGATCTGAGGTCGAAGCCGTACTGCTGGATAAATTGGGATATGGCAGCAGTAGTCGATGCTTATGCTGACTTCTCTTTGAAAAGAAGGGATTAGGAAATGTCGACCTCCAAAGTAGCGCCCTCATATGTGACAATCTGGGCATTTACACAGTCATGTTAGGTAGTCCTACTCTGATGTTGACTCACTCCTGCACTACAGTCTTCCTATGTAGGCGGTATACATTTTCTGACTGGATTTAAAATAATCAAAGGTAAATCTCAAACTTCCGAAAACACTGTGTGCGACTTACTTTGGAGAGTTATCCGTTAGGCTGTGTGACTGATTCATGACTACTGCTATTACAAATCCTTTTTTGAGTAAATTAAGAAGAATTAACTTTCCATGGTTTGAGCAACTGGAAAGTGTTAACCACCCTCAACTTCAGATCATTATCTTTTATCACCTATTCCCTTTGTTGTTGTCTATAAAATTGTTTAGTATGAATAACCTTCACATAATAGATGTAATTTACAGTCTTCTTTATCAACCTCTTAGCAGTTTCAGCCTAGTTATACCAAGCAGTGTGATCTTTTTTGTTTGTGATATACATTTCATATCATGTCATTCAACGGACTACTCTATCCACTCACTATTGTTTTCTAAAAGAATAATCTATGATGGATGGTGGCCAACGGTGAAATTCAGGATGCACGCGTTGTCCTATTTGGGATTTGTCAGCTGGATGCACCTGCCTCCCACTAAGACTCATATCCGGGACTGATCGCTTTAGACACCAAAGCGTTATCTACTAGGCCACCAAATCACGATAACCATAGTCTATGATGCCTAAACACACTTATAGACAACTGGATAAGTTTTATCAACAGCAGTAGTATATGATACATTGAGAAGACATAATTAAATGATTAAACAAATGGAAAGAAAATAATTTGATGTTATTTATGGCCAGTAGGAAATTTCGATAGCCCAAGGCTCAAGCAACCTGCCAGATATCATCGGTTAACTGTTCATATGAATCGGGTTCAAAGCCACTGTTTTTGTTATAACTATGTAAATCGTCATATGATTTCCTTCGGTATATCATTAAAGATTGTGGTTCATTGGCTTAGAGAGTTAACCTTTAACCAGTTCGTTATAGGGTTCGAACACCACTCAACCTACTGTAATTTAATCAGTCAGGTAGTAAGGTATTGTTGTTAATCATTACAATTGGTGTGTAGCTCATTGCTTATTGCACAAGTATATACAATGTTATTGAGTAGGTTTCTCTCTGACTCCTCAGTTCTAAGTCTCTATTGTTTATTTAGTATGTTCATTTGTGTTTTTGATGAACGTCTATATATTGCTTATACTTTTGTAAAAAGCGACTACTAATAATGATATTTTCTGTAAATTTTAACAGTCATTGCCAAATTTGACTTCTGGTTCTCGGGGTTCTGTATGCGTAAGTTCTTCATTTTTCATTTTAATCGATTTTTCAAACACATTCTCTCCTTATTCTATATCATTTGTCGTTGATTATTTTATATCGAGATAGTCAAATAATATTTGAGTTCATATTGGGTATACCAATATCTTTTGTGGATATCATTGAAAGAGATAGGTTTGTGAATGGAGATGAAACATCCCACACCTCATGATACTCTTTACTTTTGTTCACTTGATCGACATATTGGGTTGTTTTTTTGGCGAGAATAATGTTGAACTATTTTCAAGGTTTAAATGCTCATTAGTTGGGCAAGGTATCATAGATAATAGTGAAACGTTATTTTTTTTATTGTCCAACCTGATAGCTCACTCTAGTGTGTAGGTAACATGTACAACAGTGGTGAATTGAATGATCAAACAATGACAGTGTTAGTGTATGGCTATTGGTCTAATTTTTATAAGCAGATGTAAGCTGTCTAATTGGAGTTTATCAAGACGGTAGCAGTCAATGGTTGGAACCTCTTGATGATATGGCGCTAAGTTGAATACAACGACACAGATACATTGTGTCATCTTTGAAGTTCTACAGATTTTTTGTAGTAATTTTCATCTCTTTATTTCCTCACCTCTCACATACTTTCATCTACTGTTATATCCGTCACTTTCTATCCACCTTTTTTTCTGTATTCAGCTGTACAATATGGTAACGTGAACTGATTCATTTCTGTATCAGGTTCTCTTATTTGATTCGTCTGCATTGTCAAACCAGTAGTAATTGATAAGGAATTAATTGTTTGCTATAGTGTCAGTTCGCTATTCATCAAAAGAAAAAAAAATTGTCGAAAATCTGACTTATTGATCAGGCTAATGGTGGGCTTATTCGTTGAGTCCAACAGAAGAATGTAGGAAGTCATTGTGTTTGGGCACAAGATTGAAATGACTGTATTGTACTCCCTAAGATCCACTGTTTTTATTGGCTGCTGTCAATTTCTGACGAAGACTACCGATAGTTATTTAAGCAATCATTTTGTTGGGATTTATACGAATACATCGACTGGAACTTTGACACATTAATGTCTAGACAGCTGACTTTCCAGTCAGTAGGCTGTAGGTTTGAAAATATTGCTCCGCCTATCGAGGTTTGGATAGTTGCGTAGTAAATGGTGTTAGCTGTCAAACAGTATGCATGGTTCATTGTCTACGACACACGTGCATGTTTCCTAAAACAGCTTGCTTGTTGTTTGTTTACACACCGTTGGAAGCAGATGATTAATTAAGAACTATATGTTTTCTATATTCTTTAAGCAAAAATAAACAAAACATGGAGTAATTATAAATCAGTCAGTAAGCGGTTAGTTGATTTTTTATATGCGCATCTTTTGAAATGTGAATTACCTTCCCCCCCCCTCTGGCCGCCATAATATCTGATTACTTTCGTTGCAATATATGATCTCTTTTCTTATTGAGATGAATAATTTTATTTCTGTCGTCTGATGATACCATACAATTGTGCATTGTGTTTATACTTATTTGATGGATTATGTTTACTTAATGGTGATTTTGTTTATAGACGCCATAATACTGGTGACAAATTCTATGATTATTCTACTTAGTATACATATGATCTCACAAAATAAACAACAGAGTTGTACCTTTCTTTGAAGTTAGTGTTGTTAGCTTCAAGTGCTGTGAAACTATTTTAGCTCCGAGAAGATATCCGACTATTTATCGAAGGATGAGTATACTGTGCCGAAATCCGTTCTGTCTTTTTGTACGGTTGTGAGACATGGAAGTTAAAAGTAGGAGGGTTTTAATCACATAAGTGTATTCTTAGCATTGCTCATGTTTGCTGGAATCATCGTGTGAGCAACAATGAGGTCAGGCGAAAAGTACTAGACAAGAAAGGTAAGTTGATTGATAAGAGTGTGAACCTTCATCACAGTCTGAAATAGTTAGGACATGCACTGCGCATACCGAGTCACTACCTACCGTGACGTGCCATGCTAGGCTGCAGGAAGAGTGTTCAAGGTGACCAGATGAATACCTGGAACCACTCGATGAAGTTCCTGGTTGTTGGTCTGTGGTGTGCTGGGAGATATAGACTTCCTGTCTGGGCTCTTCCAGACGAACAGAATCGGTGGTTGATGACTCTTGGTGACATTGGCGCGGATGTGTTCACTCTTTGACGTCCGAAACTTGAATGTTTTCACTAACCTTCATCTTGAAATCTTTTTTACCTTTCCATATACCTTTGTCTATTTTGATATCACTCTTTTTCTATCCACTTCTTCGTTGTATGGTCTTGTGAAATGTGGTAACCTGAATGAAATGCACTTGTATGCGAGGTTCTAAGTTACTTTATGAATTTCGTTGAAATTATATTTTCATACAGCAGCATGACACCGAGAATTATGCAAAGATTTGGTAAATCATACTTCATAGTGTTTTGAAATCTCTATCTTCATACTCTCGACAGCGTCGACCGAGAAGTAATTTGGAAACTGCTTCATTACCACGGAGTACCGCAAACCTTTATCCGCCTCATTCAACAACTATATGAAGACGCCACATGCCAAGTAATTCACAATGGGAAGCTCAGTGTTGCTTTTGAAGTGAAGACAGGAGTGAAACAAGGTTGCTGTCTACTATCACCCATGATCTTCCTTATTGTGGTGGACTGGATCATGCAGCAAACAGTGGGGAGCTGTGAGAAGAGAGGGGTTCGCTGAACTGCGGAAAAGAACCTAAAAGACTTGGATTTCGCCGACGACTTGTGCCTGATGTCACATAAACTTGAAGATCTACAGGCGAAAACTAACAAGTTGACAGAAGAGGGTAGGCAGCGAAGACGGGACTTCAGGTGAATATAGAGAAGACAGAGGTGATGAAGATACCGCACCAACAACTCCAACAACAACAACAACAATAAACTCCGATCACCATCAACGGGAGAAACTCAAAGGAAGTAACCTCCTTCACCTATCTAGGAAGCACTGTTTCAACTACAGGCGACACAGGCACAAACGACGATGTCAAAGTCAGTGAGGATCGGAAAAGCAAGACAGGCGTTCATTAGCCTGAAACCAGTGTGGAGATCCACTGCACTGCACTCAGCATATGGAACAACATCCGGATTTTCAACATCAACGTCAAGTCAGTGCTTCTGTATGGTTCAGAGACTTGGCGCGTTACGAAAGGGATTTCCAATAAACTACAGACATTCATCAACAACTGCTTACACTAGCTCAGTACTGAAGATCAGATGGCCAGAATGATAAGAATAAGCAACAAAGAGCTCTGGGAACTAACCAACCAAGAACCTATCACGCAACAAATATGCAGGAGGAAGTGGAGATGAATTGGCCATGCACTGAGAAGGCCGACTGGGGACATCACGTGTCAGGCCAGTCCTTCGAGTGGAATCCCCATGGGAAGCGACGAGTTGGACGTCGGTGCCGAGGATGACATGGAGGAGATCGTGAGAGGAGGAAATGAGAGCTTGTGGGCTGTCGTGGAACCAGGTTCAAAAGATCTCAGAGAACAGAGTTCACTGGAGACGTGCTACTGAAGCCTTATGTTCCACTAGGAACCCAAGGGACTAATAATAAAAATAATAATAATCTCTATTCCCTCAATTCAGGGGGCAAGGCTTTTGTGTTTGTTTTTTATTGAATCTGTGAGTTCATCGCGTCTTTTTTTAAGATATTCTATGCGAAGATTTAGAAGTAGTATTCATCATCGACATCAGTCGGTGAACCATTGAAATCTGGGAACACTGGACATCTGTTTCGTCATAGTATGGGACTTATCAGCAGTACGCACCTACGACTCGGCTAGGGATCGAACTCAGTCCATGATGAATACTACTTCTAAATTAAAAAAATCCCCATTCATCTCAAAATATACGAAGATTGTTCGTTTTCTTCTCTTTATTCAAGGGTCATTGGTGTGAGTGAGCATTAACTAGTCACCTTTCTTTATATCATCATCATATGATGACCTTGTTAATGTAATATTTACACGTCTTCTAGCCTAAATTTAATATTCCACCTTATCATATTGACTGTTCAATGTAACATGTGCGTCAAAATTCATACTTTTCTAGTCGTTATCACCATCTTTACATTCATTTGGTTAGTATAGAGAGAATAAGAACAAGACATATAAGTGAACAGTATTGTTTTTAATTAAATCCTCTTCAGGCTTCCCTTACTCTAATACAAATAGCTTTATATATATATATATATATATATATATATATATATATATATATATATATATATATATATATATAATTAAACGAATAGTGTGGATTTGTCGGTTGGTATGATAAATGTTCCGAAATAACGATGGTGATAATAATGCAAATAATAATAATAGTCATAACGTTGACTAAAGCTCATGCAATATAGATGATAAGAACCAAGACAGTATAAAAATGCAGACACTCGAATAATCAAAATGGATCAAAAGCTTGTGAAAATAAAAGTTACGTAGCAGTGAAGGATGAGGTAAGTGGATAAACAAAGCCTAGACAAATAGAGTTCGTATACGAAAGGGGTTAAGAATAAGAAAAAGAGTAGGGAAAAAAACAACAACTGAATGATAAAGTTACTAACTAAGTCTTCCCTGGCCAAGGGGATGTACAAATTTCTTCTGGATACAATGGCCATATATGGCTGTGAAACATGGCTATTGAAGGTGGAAGACATGACAAGACTTCAGGTGTTTGACCACCGTTGCCTCCGTAGTATAGGGCGTATTCCGTGGTGTCATAAGGTGAGTAATGCAGAAGTCAGGAGTAGAGTTTTAAGGAGAAGAGGTAAATCTGTTGAAGTAGTTGCAGGTTGGAAAAAGGCCCGAGGTGGCCAGACTAAAACATGGCACCAATGCAAGAAAAGTCTCTGACTGTTGGTTTGAGCCATGTGTGGCGGTGCAGACTAGGTGGTTGGGGTGTGCAGGACAAGAGGGACCAGTGGCTGGAGACTCTAGGTGACCGCATGATCCAGAACCGAT